AGCATCCCGGGGGATGTGCTTGCCATGGGCAAGGGATTCCCCAGCATCACAGCCCACCTGCATCCACAAAATGGCCAGGGCAGGAGCGGGCATCACCTCTCCAGCTCCATGTCCTTTCTCTGCACTGCCTTCCATCTCCCACTCCGGCAGCGAGCCCAAACGCTTGGCTCAGACCTCAGAATGGCTGCGGTCGGTCCCGCCATGAAAAGCCCATGCTGGAGAGGCTGTGGCCAGGGCAAGCCAGCCTTGGGGATGTCAGCAAGCTGTAGGAACGGGCCTGGTGGTGACGTGTCCTCAGGGTGGACTGATGTGAATCAGTAATTTAAACCACTGATTTTGATTGTGACTAAGATGAGGAAGCAGGAAACCTGTGGAGATAAAGCTTGCCAAATGTCATCTTCTTTTGCATTTATATTTTTTGGTGGTTATCATTGAAGGAAGCTTGCTTAGGAATGGTTAAATCACGCTGCTGAGCAATGACCGTGCTCAGGCTTTATCAGCTGGCAGAAGCCACGTACCTGCGCTCTCCTCCAAGCGGCCCGGCACCATGCAGCTGCTTGGGCTCTTTTTCCTTACGTGTTTCTTACGTCAGGTTATTATTTTTTATTTATTGGCTTCTTCATATCTTAGTTGTTTGTTGACCCATGTCATGGGCATTGGCTTTGGTCACTGAACCCTGTGGCACCTCTGGTCTGGTTGGGCTCAAGGCTTCATGCTCACTTGCACTCAGAGGTTAGAAGAGGAAAACAAGTCTCCTGGTGCCTCACATCCTCATCAGCGTCGCGGCTCAGGGAGATGCACCGCTGGGCTGTGACCAGCGCAACCAGCACAGCATCCCATGGGACCACTGCTGGCACCAGCACCCGGAGGCTCGGGGTTTCCTACCAGCTGGTTTTCCCTCTTGGTTCTGGGAAAACAGAGCAAGTTCTTCCCACTGTTAATGTTTGATCAGGACCTGCCTGTTGCTCTCTGAACTAATCCCTGTAATAAAGCCAGGCAGCTGCCCGTGCCAGCCGCAGCGGGAAGGAAGCTGCAGGGTGTTTGGTGTGAGCCCGAAGCTGTGGCTCAGCCCACAACTCAAACAGAGAGCACGGAGGTGCGTGCGGCACGGAGGGGCCGGTCCCGCGGCCACCCGCCTGCCCGCCTGCCTGCTGATTCATTTATGATCATCTCTGTAAACCCAGGGATGTCTCTCCAGGTGAGGCTCTGCAGGAAGAAGATGGACCGCAGTTCAGCTGACCCCATGGATACACCCTACGGGATACTCCTGCCAACAGAGCTTGCCACGAGAAGCCATCAGGCTGCACATCTCAGCGGCGAAGGCAAGGGGCAAGCAGGAGAGGGCCGATGAGGAAGCCAAGGGACGAAGGAGCCTGAGAGGACACAGCCTTCTGCCTTGTACCATCACCACCAGCAGCCTGCTAACACGCATCACCTCCCCGAGCTCCAGATCCTCCTCCATCCTGGTGCCCATCACCTTCTGGGTGAGCTCTGGACCAGCAGAAACTGGAGACAACACCAGCACTCCCTCCATCAGATACGGTTTTGGCTACACCCTTGTCTCTGCCTGCAGCACCCTGCTCCTGCTCCCAGGTTACTCATGCGAGCATCCATCCTTGCCAGCAGAAGGGGCTTCAGCAGGGATGGTGGCAGGCGTGGAATGGCCAAGGCCTTCGCCAGTCCTTTGCTGGACACCGTGATGGTGGCAGAAGCTGCCTTTTCCCTCTGGGCTCTGAACTTCAGACATCCCGAGAGGTGAACGCAACCCTTCGACAGCGCGCCCTCGCCCCTCAGCCCCGGGAACCGATTCGCCAGGAGGACGCAGGTCCAGCCTTTGGTCCTAACAACGTGCGAGGAGAAACGTCCTGCCTGCCTTGTGAACTCGCACTGTCCTGGGTTGGGACTTGGCTCCGGCGCAGCTCCTCTCTGCAGGGCTTAGATCATCCCTCTCCTACGGAGAATACCCGGCAGCTGGAGGCCCCTCGCCATCCAGGGACGCTCTCTCCCAAAGGCTCCTTTAACAGCCCCCCGAGGATTTCTCCAGGCCATAATATTCCCCCAGACAAGCCTTTCTTCTCCTCCCGCCTTTCTTCTGTCAAGGAGCCCTCTGGGACGAGCAGCATTGTCAGGATGGTGCCAATTAGGCTGAGCCGGCTTCCAAGAGGCTGCGCTGGCACCGGCCGGGGGCTGCTGTTGCTCATAAAGGTCTCATTGTTCACCGCGCCGTGGGGCTGCTGGCCGGCGGGGCCGGCGCGGTCCTCTGTCTCAGGCACGCTTCCCGGCTCCACGCGGCGCTGGTGTCACTGCGCGCTGCTCAAAGGGATGATTAACGGGTGTCATTGCGGGGGCTGCGAAGGGGAGGATTTGTCAAGCCTCCCTCGGCTCCCCGCGAGGCCCGAACG